TTTAAATTAATAATTACTACAAGCTATTTATGAAAGAAGCGAAAATGATTTTAAAATCATTCCTACTACACAAGATGTTAGGAAACTTATCAAATTTCTTTTTTCTTAATTTCAATATTACATTATTTTGATAATGTCATTATTTAAAATGTAATTTTAGTTAATTTCATGATATTAGATTATGCGTACATTTTAATTGATATTGAAATGATATAAAAATTTTTTAATTGTTATTCAACAAAGAAAAACTTACGCTTAACTTCAGTTTGCGTTATCTACAGGTATGAAGTGTGCATTACGAAATAAAATAATTTATGTTCGAAGTGAAGGCTATTGTTCAGCGGGAAGAGTACAAGCAATATTTCAAGATTTAACACTTTTGGAATGCGCTAATCAATGCAGTTCCAAAGTATAGTTGCAAAAAGATTTTTGAATTATTACTAGCTTTGCTTGATGAAATATTACAATAAGTTTAGAAACAAAATATCTCAAAACAAATTTTGTATAATTTACAAAACTACCAATTATCAATAAAGGAAAAACGTATTCTCTAATTAATTTAATTAAATTATTTGACAATTGTGGTAATTCGTTTTAGTAGATTATCTTGTTTTTTTTTTTTTTTTGTTATCATAAGAAATAAAATTAGAATTGAAATTTCTTCTTTTATCCTTAATTATAAAATCTTAGTATATTCTATTTTAATGGAAATTTACACATATTTCCATTCGATTGCTGAATAATCACATAGTTCAGGGAGTAAATTGCACCTCATTTGAATATGATACAATGCAATTGAAATGTGTACTGAAGGAGGATAGTGGAAGTTTGATGAATGATAATAGTATGTTACCGTTGAAAACTGTTCATAATATCACATTATTTCAGCAACTCTGTCTTCCTGGTATGATTTTTTTTCTTAGAATATAATTGATTTTTCCTGAAATTTTTGTAGTATAACTGAAATATTTTTTACGCTTTACTTTTTTAATTTTATGTAAAATACCAGTTGATGTAAAGTAGAAATAATTTAAGTAAGATTAATTGCTAATTGATCATCAAACAATCGTTTATGATTACTACTCTTTTTATCTTCTTATTTTTTTCCACTTTCCTCTCTGTTTGTTATGGAAGATTGAATTGAATTGGTAAAAAAAAATTATGAATGCATTGTTGACGGGAAAAATTAATGACAAATATTGTTAATTGTGCGTCATCGATGGAATAAACTAAACAATGAGTAAATGATTTAAATTCAGTAATAATAATTTGAAATAAAATAAATTTAAGTATGAGATATTATTATGGATAAATGTTGCACTTATTTTATCTTTTTTTTTAACTGAAAATATTTTTGCACATATTTCAGAGGAGGGAATATGTCCATCGCTGTATACCTTTGAGCATCTCCCGGGACATGTTCTGATGGGAATTGCCAATGAGGTTTATTCAGTTTTCTTCTTATTTATCAAAAATAAGAAATAAATTATAAAATTTTTTTTTTTGAAAAAAAGTTCTTTGAGTAATGTTGCTGTGATGAATATTTGCATGGGTATTAGTTTGAGATATTGTAGGTAATGCAAGTTGCATCCGTGGAAGAATGTTTAAGCATGTGCTTAACTGCTAAAAAAAAAATCGAAATCGAGTGCAGGTATGATTTATATTGCAGGATTTTAAATTTATTGAAATTAATATTCAAAAGTTTTTTTTTTTAGAAAATAGCATTTATTTCTAAATTATAAATTGTAATTCATTTTCCAATACATATTGAAATGAAGTATTTAATAAGAAATAATTCTATTATAGCAGTAAAAAATTATTTTCATTATTTATACGTGAACAATATTTCTTGTGAATATTTGATTTTGGAGTTTTGTCATTACTGAAAAGTTCACAGGTCGGCGATGTATTATTATGATACCGGTGAGTGTATTCTCAATGATGTGAATCGAGCAACAAGTGCAGCTATGATAACCAATGATACATTGAATATGCGGGTGGATTATTTCGAAAATCGTTGCTTCGATGGTTTTTTTTTTTGTTACTTTATTCTTTTGACGATGGAATATTATATTTTCCTTCTTTTTTACAGTGGTTTTTCTTTTCGGAAAAGTTGATTAAATTCGAAACGGAATAGAGAATGGAGTAAGTAGTATTTGGATATCATTGTAACAACTATCATATCATAATCATATCGTTAAAAAAATAAAGATAAATAACTTTGTTTTTTTATCGTTGTTTTTTTTTAAATCAAAACTTACCAAATGGAAATTGCAAATAGTATCTGATATTTTTTTGACGAAAATAAATTATCTTTTCTGGCCTAAGATAATAGCACAAAATGTTGCTCATCTCTAATCTAATAACTTTTAGAAGTGTATAAAAATTTCAGATCAGTCAATAATTTTTTGAATCCTAAAAACTTCATTGTAAAATTAAGCAAAAATTTTTTGATTATCTTTATCAATATTTAATAATTCTGTATAAGTTTCATATTTGCAGTGGAATGCTTAACTGATTTCACCGTACATTGGATTAAAGTTGGGAAATTCACAATCAACGATAAATTGGATTATGCTATGATAAAACAAGTGACTAAGGAACAATGCTTCAGTTATTGCCTTGTATTTAATACTAATTACTTTTTAGATATATTTAATGTTTAGATCATCAATTAATAAGTCATTTGAATTGTTGAAAATTTTTTATTTTAAAATTGAACTATTTAAATAATTGTCACCATTGTTTTGATAAGTCTAAAACAATTTTTGGACAAATTCTATTACTTTTTTTCTTTTAATGAATAATTATCATTTAATTTGTTATTTTTTTAGGAAAACAAAATTGATGATCAATCATTTCCATGCAAATTGTACGCATATAGTGAAGATGAAATGACATGTCATTTAACCTCAGAATCTGGTTTAACACATTCAATAACACCAAATGATAATCAAAACATATCTAATGAGTTGGAGAATTATGATTATTACGAAAAAATTTGTTTAAAAGGTAGCTGAACATAAAATACCTGAGCATAAAATATACCTGTACAATGGTCAAATTTCTAATCGCTATTTACTGTTCAGGCAGTTTTTGAAAATATTTTACGAATTTACATCAATAACACCAATAAGATAAAATGAACGATTGTATTACTAAACTCGGATAGCACAAACAAAATAGCTTACAGAATCGTGAATCCTGAATTCCTTTATTATTTCTAATGCTTAAATTTTAATTTTGCTATATATTTAGGTTCAATGCGATGTCAAGAGAGCAGTTTTGAACATGTTTCAAATCATGCTTTATTAAATATCAGAAATAAAGTTTGTCTATTTCTCATGCCTACAATAATTATTTTTAATATGAGACTTAAGATTTGATATTTATAAATATTACAGGTAATAAGAAGAAGTATGACAAGCTGCTTAGAAAGTTGTTTACATTCCGGTAAGCAATGCAGTTCAGTGATGTTTTTTCACGGCAAGGTAATAATATATTCATTAACATATGATTGGACAGAGAATAATAAATTAGATAAAATGCAATAAGATATAAAAAGATGACAAATAAATTAATTAGATGTTATCGATAAAATCTGTAATCATAAACATAAATATGGAAATTTTTGAGAAAGTATTGATTAATTTATATTTGATACGATGAATTTCTTTCAGGATGAATGTGTGTTAAGCAGGATGACTCAGTATTCAAACGATGAACAACTTCGATACTTTCCGGAAGTTAGCCATTCAAGATGATTATTTCTAATCATACATCCTATACAAATTAAATAACTGCTGATAATAACAGTTCAATGTGTTATTATGAATAAATTAATGATAACAGCGATGTCATAAGATTTCTTTTTTAATAAATACACCTAGAAATGATGAATGCTGAAAGTGAAAAACTTTTTAAAAATGGCAAGCAATCGATAAGCATTTAACTGATAATTTATTTGTTGCAGGTGGATTATTTCGACAATGTGTGTGATTATAAAATTGCTATAAACATGTCTACGGAAAATAAAATAACCGAAACACGGATATCAGCAATGCGTAAACAATTAAATGGTAACAAAAATTTGCAGCTATCTGGAATATAATTATTATCATTTAGCAATAGTTTTAATCCTTTTGATATTAGCGAAATATGAAAATTTTAATTTGGAAACGATTTATGGAAATTGAATAATCATTTGTTTTTTGTTTATGAAAGAGTGCTAAAATGAAATAGACAAAAGTTTCATAAATTTTAATAAAAGAATATATGCAAATAGAAAATATAAAAATTTATAAATTTTTGTATTTCCTTGTATCATATTGAGGACTGGAAACGAAATGTGGTGCAGTTAGCATTTTAATATCTGTATTATTTTCTAAACCTACAGTTGGTGCAATATTCATCAAAGATCATTTTGCAACATGCCACTCTGAATTTAGCAATACAACGACTGCAACAATGGAAATTGCACTGTCCACTCTTCGCCAAGATAATCCACCATGTCCTGGCTATGAAATTGTTCGTTTCATCGTAAATTTAACTCAAATTTTTAATTTTTAAAAAGTGTTCACTTCAACAAGATTATAAATAATATTACAGTATTATTTACGATCAGTATTATTACAACAATATTATAGTATTATTAATAATAAATAATATTACAGTATTTATCTATAGAATTAAATTCATGGGAAAGGTAACAAAAAAAAAAAAATATTTACCTTATTTCATTGCATATCATCCATCTATGCTTAGAATCCCTCGAGTTGGTCTTTCATTGTGGTAGTGCAAGAGAATGGTTTGGGAATACCGGGATTAATGACTGACGAAGATCGGATTTTCAACATTACCTGCGATTACTCAAACAGTCAAACTACAACTGGTTCGGGTCAAGATAGAGTGTATGTTAACATTTATTTATATGTTATGATAGTTGAAAGTTAAAACTTTTATTTTGTTTTTTAAAAAAATTTAAGTTATCAATATAAATTATGCTATCAATTTCAATTGATTAATTGATTAATTAATTGAATTTACAAGAGATTTTGCACAAATATTGCAATATTGATTGAATTGTAATTTCATCACAGGCTTTTACAAGAAGCATCGCGAGATTGGTCATCTATTCCCGCTTCTAATGACCACGTGCAATTAACGGTATTTCGTGGTGACCAACCGGTAAGTACTGCTGTAATGGGCGAAGAATTAGAAATGAGATGGACGGTGGTGCAAAATCACATGAATAATGTTGGATTGTTTGTAAATCGATGTATCGCAGAACGTTTGGATGGAGCGCCACCTTTACCACTCCCACTTACGCTTATTGCCGACGGGCAAGTACTGCTTAATCATATTAGTATTTCGTTATAGTATTAGATTTTAATCAATATCACAATCTAATTTCTGTTAATATCCTTATCATTGCTCTCTCTAAACTGTTTTATATCTTGGATGAGTTAATTTAAGTTTAATCCAGATTAAAAACTTAACCTATTGATACCTCAAAAGCAACCAAAGATTATTAAATATCCAAACTGTTCCTTCATATTCTGTATAAAAAAACAAAAGATTTCTTTCATACAAAAAAAAAAAAACTCAAATAATTTTTAGATGTATTGATAGTAAAGTGAGGCGCCTATTAATGCAACATCCGATTATACAGTTTGACGGTGGTTTAAGGACTAAAATTAAAGTTTTTCGGTTTGATGGATCACGTCGTGTTCGAATTCTTTGTTCCGTCGATATTTGTATTGAAGAGTGCTTGCCGGTCTGTAATTCACATGTTTGATTTTTTTTAACATAAAGGAGAAGGTGAAGATTTTTCGCTCTTGGATCAATTGAGGGAATTGTTGGAGAAAACTGTAAGCAAATTACAAACTTTTTGATAAGAATAAATTCAGGCTTAAGTTTGGTATTGTTTGATACATTAGTTCTTCAATTTTATTTATTGCTAAAACTTTCTAAACAACGGAATACTGTACTAATAACAAGCATTTTCATCTTTCAACTTTATCATCTGTTGGGCAAAAATTATGCTACAATATACACTACCAAAAAATTGCTGATTATAGGTTACTTGTGATAAGGAAGTTAGTGGCAGTTTGACAAATTCTGATAAGAAGAAGCGAGAAATTTTTACTTCACAGACTCAACAAGTAAATTTATGTGTTCTTCCTTTTTTTTTCTTTTTTTAAGATGCAAAGCATTGCAAGCTTTCATAAATCAATTACAATTGTTGAGTTAGTGTATATAACAAGTTACTTTTGCATATGACATGAATTCGATTAAAATTTAATTTAGACCGCAACACAACGAGTTAAACGACAGCTCATTACTGGGACCTTTACGATCATTGAAGAAAATATTGATGTAGTATCTGCTGATAATGTAACGAAAATTAACGAGCAAGCGTTAAATCAGGGTAAACTAATTTTTGGAATTTTACAAAGTTTATTTTCTAGAGAGAGTGAAAGAGAAGAGTTTAATTTGCTTCATTAATTTTTCAATTCTGTTTTCTAATGAACGAAACATTTAATATATGTATATATACATATATATATTGAACCCAACGTTAAACTTTATACCCATCAATTCTTGATTAAATTTTAAATGAAATTTATAAATCCTTTTGCAGATATAATGCCATTTCAATTTCTTGAAAATAATCATTATTGTGTTCAAAATCCTGCGCTCTTTGTTGTTATTGCAATCACATTAATACTTTTAACGATGCAAATCTTTCTGCTGTGCAAGTATATACGGCTTAGAATTCAGGGATCTATTTCTTCTAGTATGTCTTTATCAAATTTTCATGCGCATTTATGCATATTAGCATGGTAAAAATTTAATTATTTACCATTAATATATACTTGCAATGATTTACCATTAATTGACCATCAATTTTATTGAAAAAAAAATAGAAAAATGTTATCTGTTGGTGAGTTTTTTTGAGAGATCCTTCAGGATGAAGGTTTTTCGTAGAAATTCATTTTCAGATAGTGATAGCAGCTGTAATATCATATCAGCTCCTCAACATGTTTACTTTGGTGATGAGGAATGTTCTGCTGTGGAATCACCTACCATACTATCTAAAATAATCAGGCAGAATTACCTAAAATAAAAATTATTTTTCTACACATTACATACATAAATAAATTGCATACTTATTTGCTTTTTTTCATCCATTCAAATTCATTTTAATTGTATTTTACAGATGACAACAGGAAAAAAAAATTACAGAAAAACGAAATTAGCAGCATTATTATTAATGTATTTAAATATGGAATTTTTAGTATAAATTATTTTTCACCTGTAGTGATAATTTATTGTAATTTCTCAATGCGTATTTTGTCATAACAAGATTTTTCAGGACACAGAATGAGGGCATCAGAAAAGGTGGAAGAAATGTTTCTTAGCATAACATATATGTTGTCGTAAAAAAATTATTTATGACTTAAAAATGATCAGAAATATGTTGAAAGAATAAAATGTGTTCATTCCTGCATATATTTCTTTTTGTTTTCTGCATTTCTTTTTTTTGTTTTTAATTTCATTTTTTTTTTTTGATATTATACATATCAAAACTTTTATGCTTGTGTTGTAATTCGGTTGTTTTCATGGATAGCACTTATTACTAAGTTCTTAAATATATATGTTCTCTTTAGATGTGCAAATTTTTTCAATGAAAACAAAAAAATGAAGCAAATTATAGTAATACATTAAAAAATATTAGCGCTATAATATTATGTGTTGAAAAAAAAACTTTTTAAAATAGAATTAACTTGTTAATTTTGAAAATCATATAGGATAAGCTTGAATTTCCTAGCAAAAGATTTGGTTAACTAGTTTCGAAAAGGATTTAATAATAGGAGGAATGATTAAAATAGGCTATCATATGGCTCAATTGTAATGCAAATAAAGATTCTCCAGTTTGTGAGCCAAAATTGAATTTTCTCGAATTGTTCATCAAAGCATATCCATGTCACTCACTTTATCATGTCATTTTCACTCATCCTGAATATGAAATAACGTCACAAATAAATTAGCAACCATTTAACGCTCCACTGCTTCAATTGCTTTGCTTTCTCAAAATCTCTTCAGTTCATGATCGAGCCTCATCACTGGGCCTCATTGTTCCATCCTTTCATCTTCCCAATATAGTTATTCATTACGTTTCCTCATTTCTTTATCATTTTTAAAATTCTAATCGCTGTATGAGGATTTCATGATTCGTAGACTGGAATTTTGAGTAAAATAATTTGAGATAAGACTGAAAGCAGTGATTGATACAGTTGATATTGAGTTTATGAGTTCATTTTGCAAACTGTAAAATTACAATGCTACGAATTTACAGTTGGAAAGCATGAAGATGTTAAGTCTTAATGCTTAATATTAAATATTTTAAATGTTGAATAAGAAAACTAACTTATAAAGTGGTAAAGTAAATTCTAAAACAATTTTACTTTTTTGATGTACACTATTCATACTAATATAATTCCAACTAATAAAAAACATCAGACCGATCTAAATAAGTAAGTCTTAAGTATAATTATAAACATTTACACTAATATC